CAGCACAGATGTAAATACAACTTTTCTTCTGCTGTTGTTTTAGCGAAATCAGACAACTCTGTGCATGTCCAAATGCTTTTAATAAAGCTTGGCGCATGTATACACACGTCATGATCAGATTATTTGATTTTACACCCGTATAAACAATGGAATCAGATAATCCGATCCCTCAAATTTTTAATCGGATCAAGAAATTGCGCCCATGTAAACATGGCTACTGATTATTTTAGACAATAACGACTTTTCACTTTGTCTTTATCCTTTTAATCAATATGAACTCTTTTTTTTAACACTTGTGCATATCAGATTTTTAATTAAAGCCAACATGCTGTAACCAAGACATGAGGGCACTGAACGGTTAAAGATTCTGTATTTCCGTCTGATGGTGCTGAACAAAAGGACAAAGTGTGGGTGGATTTGAGTGCAAGAGTGCAAAGGAAAGATTGCACTGATTTTGATACAGTGTCTCCGCCACATTAGTGCAATGCTGTAATGGCAGTTAATTCACCAAGTCCTATCCTACAACAAAACAATCTCAACTGCAATTTGGTTGTGCCATTAGTGGATGTGAAAAACAATGTAATGCTCGTCCTCATCAGGTCTGTTTTTCCTGAAAAGATACTTTCTGGTGCATCAATAGAGCAGCATCAAAGGCGTTTCTAGGAGACAAACAGCTGCATTACTCGTCTAACTGCTCTTTTGCTTTGAGCATTTTACATGGTAAAAAGAAAATGGATCGTGTGGTGGCTAATTTTCTTTTCAATGTGAAGTAGAGCAGAAGAAACTCCAAAAAAGAACCATATGGATTCATGGGTGAATCATAAGCCTGCCCAAATGTTGCAATATGGTGTTTAAATAATTCATCCTGGAAGAGGCTCTTGCCATATTGCCCCAATCCCAACCCATGTACACTTCATGACAAGCTGGTTAGAACATTTTTCCTTCAATATCCTTTTTCTAGTGTATTTCTTTTCTTTTTCTTTCCTTTTTTTATTCTCATCCTAAGAGACCACTTGATCGGTATTTTCCCACAGGGGGTGAAGGTCTTGGTCTTGGTCTTGTGTTTTTGTTTTAACAACATTTCACACTTCAGCCAGCCTCTTAAATTAAGACTATGATATGAAATTTGATTATGCATGCGAATGTCATGAACTAATAAGCAGCTGCTGGCTAAGATGAGTACTGGTGAAGACTTTATTTAAACGTTACTTTCGTGGTGTGGTTGGTTTATCGTCCTTTCTGTGTAGCGCGGTTCAAAGACAGTGTATTAGCATGTTATTTGTATAGACTGGGTTCTTCGTCAAGCCATTGCATTCTGGCTATTAGGCCTGTTGGTGTTATCTCATCACTGCAGCTCTCACACAAATGCTGGAGCACTAGACAGCAGAAGAGAGAAGGAAAGATACCGTAGAGGAGGAAAATAAAGGCGAGTGTGTGGGGGAAGGGTGGAGAGGGATGGAGAGGAGAGCAGAGAGATGATTAATGATGACTGTGGAGAAGATGGCCAAGGTGGTTAGTGAAATTAACAGAGGCTTAGCCAGCAGCACACCACAGGGAGAGAGGGAAGGCACTTCACAGACCCACACCAACTGAGATCCTACATGTGTGCATGTGTTTAGAGTCTGTATAAACACTCATTTAGAAGGATGTAAATACAGACGTATGTGCAGACGCAATCTAGAAAAACACAGACTGAAGCTAACAGTGGAGAAAACAAACAATTATCACAATGTCAGATATTCCAGTCTTATTTACTCAATAACTTTAAAGCTTTTATGTGTTTTTTTTTTCGTAGATAAAGTATCCGTAAGCGGTGTTATCACTTCTAGTCAGCCTCTGGCTTTATTACAGGCAGAAATGACTGTCACTGGCATTTCATATTGTGGTAAACAAGCTTATATTTGTTCACTAGATAGACAGTAGCAATATTTTGACTTCAAGCCACCAATACTTTTACTGATAAACTGCCAAAAAGAATACATAAAAAGGCAAAACTGTACTGATCCTGTCAGTTGTTCGATTTTTTCCCATGGGACAAGGACTGTCATCCAGTTAAAGGTGGGGTAGGCAGGATCTGAGGAAGTGCCAGTTTTTGGGAGAAATCTTGAACGTAAACACTACCCCTCCCAACCAGTTTTCCTCTCAGCTCCTCCTCTCTCCTCCCTCTCTGCTCCAGTGAACCCCGCCCACAAACAGACGCTCCTGCTCGCTCGTATCGCTTCAATTAAATTCAGATATAATGCACATAAATACTTCAGATAATTACAAATGGGGCCCAGTCAACGTTAAAGTTAAAAGCATTTGTGCTACTGTAGATGCCAACAAACTACCAGCAGACACAATGTTTGCAGGACATCTACAACTAGGATAAAGTGACATAGTACAGGACACGAGGTCAACAGTTTAGCGGCGCTACAACACACAGCAGGCCCCGTTTGACCAGAAACGCTTCTGTTACACTTGGCTTACTTTGTTAAAGCGGTTTACCTGTCCAGCAGAAAGGTTACAGGGTCTGTAAGCATCCCCCATCATTGTTGACCCGGCTCTTTAGCTCTTGTCAAGTCTACCTCTGTTTTAAGCCCCGTTATTACGCTAGAGTCTCCGGTATTTAGTTTGTTTTCTTGCTTGTGTTAGCAGTCGTGGTTAAAGGAGGATTCAGACAATTTTCTGTACTTTCTGGTTGGTTTCTACTGTCTGATATTGTAGCACGCTAACTTTGTTTGGGCTCCTGAACCACACGAGGGAGTAGCGTCCGCCTCACAACCAATCAGGATGGGGGAGGCAGAGAATGGCTTTGTTTACAGTAAGAAAGAGCGGAGCGCTCAAAAATTTTAAAATGTTGACTACATAGACATAACAACAACAGCGATATTGTTATATCACCAAATGTCATCAATAACTAATAGGTATTGACTGATATTAAAAGCTTTTTGTATATACACCACAAAAAAGATGCTTCTTTAATGGATTCCTGCCTACCCCACCTTTATATTGAGCTTAGACTGTAGTTTAACTTGACTGTGCATGTTACATCCTGAGTGATAAGTGTCACTAGCACTATTAAAAGGTAACTGTAATATATACCTATGATAGTTTTATCATATATTTTAAAATTGTGTTTCCTGATTTGTTATGAAACATGAATGAAATGTGCACTCATGCCAAAACAGTGAGGCTAACTCTTTAAATGGAGAGTTTAAAAGTAGAAGTTGATTAAGGATCATGACAAACGAATTGAATTTGTATTGACAGAGCTAATTCACAATGAGATACAGAGCAGTAAATATTAGGGGATGTATAAGATCAGTCTGTTTGGCAGCAAAGAGGTTATGAAGGCTATAATGACTCAAACTGTTTCTTGGGTTTCAAACTGTAAGTTTAACTTTTGTTTCAACATGAGGAGAGGGATTTTAGGATTAAGACTTAGCAAAGTGTGTCAGCTCCCCCCAAATCAGGCCAGAGCAGCTAACATTGCACTGAACTCTTGTTGCATCAAGAACAGGCGCCCATGCAGCAAGTAAACAGAGAGTGAGGTGGAAGCACAATGCACAGGGTTCTTCATTAAAAAAATTCCTGTGAATATTTGTTGGGACTACAGTAAAAACTGCACTTACTCCATTGAGGGGTTAACACAACAAAGCTTCAAATCAATTAAAATAATCAAGACATTGGAATGGACAAACAATCAATGGGAACAGAAATCCCTTTTAGCCTCCTTCTGGAAAATCAATAAGTTTAATTGTGCTGTGAGACACATAATTCTGGTATTTTAATCAATCCTTTCAGCTTTCAGTGAAAGCTCATCATGAAAGCAGCTGATACCCTGTGGACCGAAGAGAGAGAGCACAGTGTAAGAAGCAGATAAGATTTTCTTACTCACCAACAGAAGATATTAACTGCCCCGGGGCTTTTCTGGTGCTTGAAGGAAAACACTTTTGTGGTAAATGTTTTAAAATTAAGACAAAAGACAACTGGTGAATTCTTTAGCAGGTAAGTGAGAAAATTTGTGTTTAAATTATGCTGTAAAAGTGGGACCTTCTGTCTTTTATAAAGCAAGAAGGAATGTTTAATTCCAAATAAGAAAACTGTATCAAACGGATTTTATCCTCTCGATAGAAATCTCACTCTAGATTCTAGCCTGCTTTCATTTTCATAACTAAAGTCCACTGAACTGACGACTCCCAATGAAACTAACAATAAATTCACACCCAGGGGAGTAAGATCGTATTCTGTATTTACACCCCAGCCTAATTTAAGACTTGGCTATAAATTAATCTTAAAGGTTATCTGTTAATTGCTGATCTGGGCTGACTGTTGCTGTTTCTCTGGCCTTCATATTGACAGCTCAAAGCCCAGGAGACTGCAGCAGCAGCAGCAGCAGCAGCAGCCGCCCTGGTGGTCTCCACTGCTGCCTGTTCGTAATGACTTGGTGTCACTTCAGACTGAATGTTTCCAACAGTTGCATACTGATAGATAGGTCAAGCCACAGGCCCGCACAAGCCAACGGGGACTCTCTGCATCATGTGGAGGCATGCATTTCTCAATTAAATGTTTTAATGATAGACAAACAACCTGCTCAAATCATTGCCTTGGGAGTCGTAGCGCAAGAAACGAGACGGGAACAAAGCGTATAACAATGTCAGCTGCCACTCTTGTTCTGAATGTTCACAATTACTGACTCCAGCGTTCACAGCAGGTACACTGGAGCACAACACACCACATGGAAGTTTACGCTGGCGGAAACACACACAGACACACACATAAAAAGACAAACAGGAATGCATTATCGCACCATGAGCCCATCCTCCCAGCATGCTATTTTTACAAAACGAAAACAAGATACGCATGAAACACAAAGTGAGATTTGATTTCAGTTTCATTTTTGGGCAAAATATTTGATTGTATTAAGTTAAGGTTTGTCATTTACTGATTATCTTCACACTTTTTTTAGCTTTACATATTAAATCTGCTTTTACAGGTATTTTTATTTGTAGTACTTTGGTTAGGGGTGAAATTGAGGTTTTAGATAACTTAATAAATCCAGTGGAGGATTAGAACCACACAAGGTTGTAATATCATAAGTAAAAGTCCAAATATTAGTCATAAGCCAAGATTAGTATGAAAAAGGAATAAATTTACAAGGAAAGTTGTAAATTCACACGGGAAAACATAACTTTGAAAGAATATAGTTGTTTATCAGACTAAAGTTGTAGATTAACAATATCTGAATCATTCATTCACAAAAACAAAAGTCCTGATCATACAAGACTTAATTTGTGATAAGAAAGAGACATAATTGCTGGTAATGGTTGACCTATGTGTCATTCTGTGTTATTAAAATGAGGATAATTAAGGAACGTAGACCATCTTATGAAGATGCACTCAACAGCTGAGGACAGCTGTTATAAAAGCATACTACCTCTAATTAGAACAAAACTCAGTTTTTCTCTGCAGAATTCTGAGTCGTGTGTTGGTGAAATGCTTAAAAGTTAAAATATTCACTTATGTACAAATGCTATATTAAAGTACAACCTCACAAGATTCTCCAAGTTCGTCTTTAAATTCAGCTGGCTGCTCCTATGATTGTTCCTTCATAATAATGTACATGCCATAACCTCAAATTCCAATTTAAACTTCTTTATTTTATCTTTGTGACTTTATGACTTGATCCTCATATATAAACAACCATCGTGTTGAAACTTCAATTTCCTTTCTTCTATAACATGACCCTCTGCTGTCGCTCTGGTGTTATTAAAAACTTGCAAATATTCAGGTAAATATTCAGCTTTCATATATTTCAATTGGCGTTGCCTGTTGGAAGTAACTCCACCTTGGGCATCTGCTTCAGGTGGTAATTTGAGTCCGGTATGTTATAAGAGTACTGGAAAGTAAGCTGGTTAAGATTGACTATTTTTCCAAAGTAGTGCTGCTCATATGGCAATAGGGATAAATAGTCAATTAATCTTGACAGGGTCTTGAAAGGTTAGGAATAACACTGTAAACTTGAAAATTATAGCTAAATGGTGAAAATGTAAGTAGATTTGTGATGGTGTTGAAGTCCAGCTGTTTGAATGGGAGAAACGGAAACATTACGAAGGAGAATCAATGTGTTAATTAACATCTATCCTTATAAGAAATTTGGGGTCCATTCTAAGTTATTTGGGTGTTTGGTAGCTCAGCAAACACAGATGTTAGTTTCACTTTGTACTCGTCAGACTCGCACAGTTTTCTTTCCACAATCAGGTTACACTCCAGACCAAAGGAGACTGGACCTTATTCAGCTACAGAAGGAGCCTGGGTCCATTTCCGGCTTGGATATGTTTATTCAGTTCTGGAGACTCTTTGGCTGTAATCAGCTTGCATAAATCTCTTTGATGATAGCCCCTAGAACATCTGCTGGAGCAATAAAAAAATCCAGGGAGGCAATAAAATGTCTGGCTGAACATATGCTAATGGAAATGTGAGTTGTTCTGAAAAGTTTGTCCTGAAGTAATTGCCACAATGTGACTGTGTAGTCTATGAATTCACATAATGATCATACTGAATTTACCAAAGCTGATGTTATCGCTGTTTGTGCAGCGTGATGATCACCCCATCCTTACCTAGTTGAGGATTTTAGAGTTTCACTGCCCTTCGACAAGTCTTTTCCTTTCTTCCCGCCTGTCCTTATATCTCTCATTCTATACACCACCTTCATACAGTCTGAAACACAGACAAGTTCACAGTGTACTGCAGGATGGATGACTGCATGCTGTTAACCTCTGTTTGAAAAATCAGGGCTGAAAGGCACAGGGATTTATCACAGGTGTGTGTGTGTTTATGTGTGTTTGTGTGTGTTATGGACTGTTGTGTCTGTATCCCATCAGTGTTGGACAAATTACATGATAGATATAATCACCTTCTTTGAACATGACACGCTTTGAAATGTAACATAATGACTCACCAAACAGGGTTACTTATTAGCATCATTAGTTTAAAGTCATCTGCCGCACTGGTGGACTAAAGGGGGAAATCTGACTCCTGCTCACTGCAGAGTTGATAGAACACCTTAAATACCATCTGTTTGCTTTCTTAGCCTGCTTTCTGATGTTTGTAGAAACTTTTACAAACAGTGTAGTTCGATAAGTTATTGCAGAGTATCCAAAAAAAAAAAAAAAAATCAAATCATGGTTATCACTTTATTTGACACCTATCTCCGTGACGCATTATAAATATAAGTATAATGCTTTGTAATTATGTTATAGCACTGTATAACTATAGTTATAAACACTCATAAATGATCATAATGCTTTATAGCAATAATCATAACACATTATAAAGCATTTTATCATGACTTAATGCAATGCAACCATTGTTAACAGTTGTAACAGGAGGTCCTTTCTTCCAGCAGCCATCAGACTGTTTAACAAAACTTGAGTTGAGGACCTGTGCACCTCAGCATTATATAAATATACCACTGCTAGCGCTACTGCATTTATTGTACTTTTTATACTGGTTTTAACTGATTTTACCCCATTTGGCTGGTCTGCAGAGGTTGTTGTTGTTGTTGTTGTCTTTGTTAGTGTACTGTGTATGAGTCTGTGAGTGGCACGACCACTCAATTTCCCAACTGGGATTAATAAAGTACCTACCTACCAACCTACCTATCTACCTACCTACAACACATTATAATACCTGACCTTGTAAGTCATGATAAAATGCTTTATAATTTGTTATGATTATTCATGATGCATTATAGAGATAGGTGTCACATAAATAGATACCAAGTCTTCTCCTGTGATGTGAAAGTCCTCAAGAAAGTTTTAGAAACTAATGTATGAAAAAGGCTTTGAAAACTAAAAACATCACTACATAATGTAAACATGTGACACTTTTTGTTTAAAGCCCCTGTGATTACTTTTTTTTTTACTTGTATAAAGTTGACTCAAGTCACACTGAAGTTGTTATATGATTTACAGAAGCAATCAAGACCATCAGGAACAAGATTGATCAGTTTTACATCCTATTTTTATTATGCCTGAAACTGGTGCCAATCAAGCAGCTAGAAAGAAACACCCACAAGAGATGAAACTTTTGAGTGTCAAAGTCAGTAAGATCAATTATTTTGTTAGAGGACAAAAGGGGGCGCCAATGTCAACACCAACTAAAAGTTCCTTAAAGTAGCTTTAATATGATAGGAACCACACAGATAAACCCTTTGTGGTTCTCATTAAGCTTGAGGTTACCAGGACAGGTAAGTCAAACATTATGACACAGCCTAGGCAGTTTAGTGTTTAAAACTTCCCCCAATCTGCCTGAGTGTCCTCTGCATCTCTGCACAAACCAAAACTGCAGTTAAAGCAAAATCTTGTTCTCTGTCCGCTACAGAAAAAAAAACAGGGGCATTCATATTTAGAGCCACTTACGTTGTGACAAACGTGACTTTGGGTCAAGGGTTCAGAGCCTGCAAACAAGTGTGCATTTGACTCTTGGAGCTCAACAAGGGTATAACTCAGCGCAAACATGTTTGTAGTCGCAGTACATATGCCAGAGTGAAAGAACTGCCACTACTGTTACAAATGAGGCAGCCGCAGATATACTCTGCTGTGACTGAAGAAGTAAAACTGTAAAAGACATTTGTCATTCTAAGACAAGGTTGAGAGGGTATGCATCTACATCGATTTTGCAACTGAGAAAGCTGTTCCCAAATCATCCCGCACTCCCATCATGTGTCAGGCTGAGTTAATTGTTTGAGAGTGCTGAGGATGGGTGTCTGTGACTGGATCATTGATCCGTTTTGTGGGTGTGAAAACCACCCACAGAGCAAGGGGTAGATGTGACTCCAGAAAGCATGTACAATACTGTAATTTCCCTCTTCTGTGAGCCATGGTGGGACACACAGAGCAGAGGAATTTCTGCCGTGTCGCAGCAAGAGCCCCGCGGAGGGCTGAGGAACAATTTCTTGCTTTCAATTTCAGAGTGCTCTAAAGGGAATTGTGAATGCATCTTCATACAAGTACTCCTCAAAATGAAATAAAAGAAGACGCTTGTTCCACTGTTAGCTAATCCAACAGAATTCGAGGTTCACGCTAACGTGGCGTATGAATTCTGGGATGTTTTTCTGTCCCATGTGAATTATTTATTGGCTTTGTATTTCACAAACACAATGCAATAACCTCCCACGACACAGGGCAGCTTCTCAATGCGCAGGATTTTTTGTTTTTTTTTTGCTGAACAACATTTTCTGAATTCATCAAAGAGCATAGCTGCAGCGTTGTGTTAGTGTGCCCTGGCTCAAACAGGATAGTTTTGCTTCCATGTGTTTAATGTCTCCGACACAGCAGGCTCCCACAGTGCCTTTGGAGAGGGCTGTAGAGAGAGAGAGGGGGAGTGTGTGTTTACTTTTGTGTTTGTGTGAGAGACAGCAGCAGCAAAAACAAAAGTACTGGGGGAGTTTGGTGCTTTCGTGCTCGGGCTTGTGTGTGAATGGAGAAAGACGTGGGCAGATAAGTAATGGTATGTTTGGAGAGAGTGTATGATGTACACCGGTGAGCTGTGGCTGGGTTTTCCCATTTTCGCTATAGTGGATGGTATTGGGGGAGAAGGAGGAGAGACTTTAGGTTACTCAGTGACACTTGACGGTGTGCTAGGCAGCCTCCCAGGATGATGTCCTGGTGCCAGCTTTTGTAGTCAAACAGCACGAGGACTGCGTGTACCGAAACACCGAAAAATTACCCATGTGATCTGCCAATTGACAGAACAATTTTCTTTGGGCATGTTCATCTTTTTCAGCCTCTTTCAGTTATTTTAGCCCAGTGAGCTATCTCTTCTGCATGGATTTCTCCTACAAGCGACTCCACAGGTGCTCACAAATCCCCTTTCAGTACCATAAATGCTTCTTTTTTTATTCCTCTTTGGAGGCTGATGTTGTGTCTGTTATCTGCAGTGACATATGTGCTCTGCCATCCTACACACCACCATTTAAAATTTCCACTAATGCTGTTTCGCTCAAGGGGTTTCACACATTTATTCCAACTTCCCCAGCCTGCATGTTTTTATTTTATCGCTTTATTTTTTTAATTTCTGTTTGTTCGTGTGTTTGAAAGAGGCAGTATGTGTGTCTATGCATGCATATTTGAGCTCCATTCCTCTGCATGCCAGTCTCAAGGCCACATCATTAGAGTAAGAGGGCTGTAATTAGTGAGTCCATGCATATTAAACAGCAACCCTGCATCTCCAGACCAGACAGCCTTGAAAAAAAAACAGCACTCCACTGTCACTTGCAGCCAATAAGCCACAGTAAATGCCCAGAGGGTTTGAAATGTTACAGACAGAGCACTGAGGGTGATTAGTTACCAGCATCAGTCTGCTTCTATTCTTCTGGCAGTCCTTCACATTTGATTGTGGGATGTTGAATATGTGATTTTACTGGATGAAGATTGAAGAGGAAGAAGAAGGTCCAGTGATAGATCATATTAAAGTAACACTTGGAGACACAGTACCTGATTTAGGGCCGTCACTATGTCAGATTTTCACCTTACAGTTATCATAGCCATAAAATACTTGGTTAACAATCTTGCAATATTCGTGGAAAAGTTGAAAACAGAATAACACAATCAGTCAGATTGAGAAAAAGCAAGACAGAGTGGAGTAACATGGTATCACCACAGTGCTAAAAATATCGAATGATTGGGTTTGCCTGACCAAAACTGGACTTAAAAAAACAAAGGCAAGTTTGTTTTTCTAACGAAGTCACTTTCATCAAAGTAAGACTTACGCTCTATACTGTCTGACATTGTAACCCTGATCAGGGAAATAGTTCTCTTAAATGTACCACTAAACCCAAACTGGTCCAAGCGTTCTGCAGATACTCCAAAGTCCCCATGTTGGACTTTGACAATATGATCAGTTAGCTTCTTGATAACTTGTTGATCCACTGTTTTGGTATTCACGGTATCAGATCAGCCGGAAAAGATCTAGTAACTGGCCAATAGAGGGCAATGAACCATTTCTGGCCAACAGCATGTATACTGGGACAAGGAGAACAGCCAAGTTATGCATGAAATACACTAAATAAGAAATTTGAGATCAGAAACAGAGATACCACAACTGAAGCAAACGCCAGAGGCTGTGTCTGGTTACACTCAACAGAATAAAGATGAAATAAGGAGGATCCACCTCCAACTTGAGGCATTTCGAACAACAAGGTGGGCAATGCCAGGTAGAAAAAAATGACTCTATATATGGGATAAATTAAAGTCAAAGATGGGCCATAAAGGGCCCTTCTGTTTCAGAGTCTCTATCCAGATTTCCTTCTCCAGGTTTATTATCTTCGCAGAGCTTTGTGTTGAGCAAAACAGCCACACAATCAAACTTGACTTATTGGGGCCAAAGGATCTAGAGTGGAGGGAGAGTAATTTTTACACATGTGGAGTCATATAACACATGCATGCACAAACACAAACGTCACTTGAGCTCATTTTGGTTGTGTAAAGAGCGTAAAAAAATAGACATGCCAAATAGTGCAACAGCGTCAGTATTGATGGGTTTTTGAAAGATGGGTTAAGTCGTTAAGTACAAAATTGTATTTTTGTTATGCTTGCTCTCAGTAAAATGGGCCAATGCAATCACAGCTGTCCTGTGTGGACAACCACAATCACAACAACATCTTGTTATGCCTTGTGGATATATTTTGGAATCTATACCATTGATAGTTAAAGACAAAGATAGGGCTGAATGTTGACTTAGCACAAATGTGCTGCCTCATCAAATCTACAGGCTCAACTTTGAGGAGGTGAGATTGTCAAGATGTGCAACATTGGCAGGTTTTACTGTAAATATAAAGAGAGCTGCACTTGATCCTGATTAAGACGATAGATTTGTGTTTTTGACGAATATTACTACAAAAGAAGTAGTCAGACTCTGCAGATTGCCAGTCACTGTTGGTTTAATGCAAACATGGTCACAGTTAAAAGTTAAAAGTTTCATGAAACTGACATGACATGCACCTGAACTTGAGGTGCAGCTTATTGAATGAATAGATTGTTAAGTTGGAACAAAATGTGTCCTTAACTTTTTAAAATCGGATTGGAAGTGACTGTTTTTGAACGTTTGAATGTGTCAATAAACCATTTGAATTGGCAGTCTTGGTCAAACGCCACACATCCTGGGTCATAATGAAGACTGAGGCTGGAGCTGCATGCTTAACATATGAAATGAATGTCCTTGTGACTAAATTTCAAACTGTGGCCCTCCTCCCTCGCTGTCTTCTAGCTGTTTTCTTGTAAGACACACAGAGAGATGCACTGGGAAACACAAAGGCTCAGCAGAGGGACTTATCCAGAGCGTAAATGTAAAGCTTTCCATGGTGACTCACTGCTGTCCTTTGAGTAGGAATGCAACAAAAGCCACACATAGAAGATATCAAACCGCACAGAAAAATGGCAGCACTGTAATTTAATGTCTAAAAACTAATCAATAGCATAAATGGATTACACTGTGACCGAAGAGATGGATGATGCTTGTAATTAATAAAGAATTTAAATTTGCTTCTATTGGTGACATCCTGTCGTAAAGACAGCATTTACAAACTCAATAAATCATGTAGCCACAACCCTCGCTAAAACCACAATCAAATTAAAGACAACAAAGCGGCCGCAGCAGGCTGTAGTGATCTGGACACTTATTTTTACGGGAGTTTTGAGATAAACAGGTAATTCACTGTTTATGACAACCTTTTTGTAGCAGAAAATTATGAATTTCTGTACCTTTAGATGCTCCTGTAATTGACTAAGTAATAGACGTCATCATTCAACACAGTAACAGCATCTAGCAATATTCTCTCAACACACTTAAACTTTATCACCACTTAGTATAATCACCACTAATCTAATGTCCCAAGGCACGTATGTTATTTTCAGGGGCTGGCAAAAAGAATAAATATAATTACACTCACCATTTAAATGCTGATTATTCTCTGGAATCATAATGAACGCATCTAGCGATTGCTCCATTACACAATGACCCTCTACTCGGGAAAAATAAGTAATTTTTGGGAGTATTAATTGTGAGTTGTGAATGTATTTTGTGAGCCTGTAATGAGCTCGTTGGTGATATTGTTCACACTTAACTGATTTTTAATTAAATTCAGCTTCACAGAAAATTCAACAGCCATGAAATTGCCATACATGTTTTGCTGTGCTCTGGAAATATGGGTTTATTGGTTTAAACTTAGTGTGAAGGCAAAAGGAGCGTGTCTGCAATTACTATTTAAGTGACCTGCCTTAGCAGGTTAAGAATATGCTAATGCTAAAGGGGGAGTGTTATAATGCATTTGTTTTTTTTTGACTCTATATTTCATTTCTGACATCATTTCAATAGCTTTACGTGACTTTCAGGTAAAAGAAAAAGCCTCAAATTTGTCACAGTGGTATATTAAAATATCGTTATTTCAACCTCTATTCAGTCTAGCTGCTGTCTCTTTAAGGCCCGCCCTTCCACAAGCCTACTTTCTTCTGATTGGCCACCTCTCAAGAGGATTTAAGCCAGCTGAGGGCAGAGCTTGCTATTGTGGTTGATCAGTTGAGCAACATTACTAGTATAGGATCGGTATATTATGTCTATGGTTACCCTGCTCCACTGTGGATGTCACTTAACACGCTGATGGAGGCAGGCCATTATGCTTTGCCAGAAGCACATGAACTAGTAAGGAGAGTCTATAACTTTTACGTCAGAATTTAGTACATCTTGCACATAAACTACAGTCTTGCATTTTAGCGCATTTGTCCGAGATTCAAGCAGTTTACATCTACTTTCTCAGATTATGACAAAATACGTTAACCTTGTGATATGAAACTTTGCATACATATAGTATGGATACCAAACTTTGTAACTTTGCTGTTTTTCTTGTAAATGAGGAAAAGCATAATACCCCCTTTAAGATGTGCTGAACTCTTATGATGCACCACCTGAATAGAAACGCTCAGACCCCCGTTTGCATTTTAGCTCAACTAAGCATCTTTGAACTTCGCCTAACCCTTATTTGTCTTACTCTCATATCCCTCTTGGCAATGTCTTTATCCCTCATGAGACTGGGCTGCTAAGATGCTCTGTGTCCCCCTTGCTAAGCAAAAAAAACGGGACAAAATTAGCAACTAGCTAGTGAGGACTTTGTAGCATTACCAAAAAACAAGCTCAATAAGAGTACAAGGAGCTGAAAGAAAAATAATTCAGGAGAATTAGCCTGAAAACCCCCCTGTGCTACCAATAAAAACAGGCAAAGCACTGATAGAATGATGGTGAATGGGAGAGAAAGAAGAGAAAATGATACTTTAAGCGCACAACCTCCCAGTCTGTCCTTTCCCATCCCTGGTGATAAAGAGCTGCTGAAATTCTGTTGGTCAGCTGTGACCCTCATGATACAGTTTCTGGGTCCCATGGGCCGCTGTCTTTGCTTTGGTGCAGCTCCCAGAGAAACACATGCTGTACAGGCACAACATTCACAGCAATAAAGGTCAAAGAAAAAGTAGTCTGAAATGGAGCTTTACCTTCCTTCACCTCTTCCTCCTTCTTCAGATCACCTTTCTTCTTCAGTCTTCATTAATTCCTACCTCGTACTGTAACGCTGTTCTGGGTCAACGCAGGTAATGGGGGTCACCAGTGTTGAAACGGATGTGGGGTAGAATTGCTGGGAAAGAATAACAAAAGAGAAGTTCAATTGATTTGTCTTGCAAGTTGTAAAGCAAATTGCTTTTGAGGAGAGGAATGCGGCAAGCTCAGCCTCAGACATTCAGATCAGATGGGGAAAAATCCTCACTTTTTAATTAGACACTTTGACAAGGATGAGGGTGTGACAAATTTTAACTAAGGTCTTATCCAAGGTTATGAAATTTGATACGGATATTAAACTCCACAGAGGATCCAAACCCCAAATATCACAGACATTTGGAAAAGCCTAGCGAGTTTGCTTGATCTCATGTAATTGCGGAGCATAAATTATGCATAGAGAACAACGCTGCATGGTGGGTTACAACTGGTGATGATTGTCCTTTGGAGACAGTGTTAATATCACAAGACATCATTTATCGCCCACAGTGTGCATGATAAATAGGTCAACCCCAACAGCAAGGAACACACTGCCATGGGAAAATAAACATAAACCATCAGACATGATAGTACTTGCAGGCTGCGTCATGTGTGCTCTGAAACTGCTGGACAAGTCCACCCCACCACATTTCCGCCAATCCTGGTAAATGGACAATGTTCAAAGGCTGACCTTGTGGACCCGGCTGTCTTTGGTTTTTAGGCTTCCCTTTTATTCATGGGTCTAATTGCTTGCTTCTGTTCCTCCCGGGAAATGAAATGTTTGAACTTCTCGGCCAAAGCCGTGATGTTGATCAGGGCAAGCCTGGTTCAGCGGAAAAAAAAAACAGAAAAAAGAGAAGAAAGAATGAAGAAAGGAGCAACGACTTGTGACACAATCATTACCCTTGGGCTTTTCTTTCTTAGAAGGCTCGCTTCTGAACCGCAAACTCAGCTTTCTGCGGTTCTTCTTAATTAAATGCTATCAAATCAATGCACACATGATCACTAATCAAATTGGCAATGGAAAAAAGTCTTTGTTGCATAGTCTGGCCTCAAACTGAGATAGCCTTCTAAATAATTAATGTTTAATTGCATAAGGTACATCAAAAAGGAAACAGCCATCCCTTGTGTATCATATATCAGTTATAAGTGATAAAATAAAGGACCAAATGAAAAGAGAAGATCAAATAATTAGATGAGAAAATCAATCAAGAAGGCTTTAATCATATCAGAGATCGTTTCTGTAACTGCTGCCTGTATTTCTTTTTAAATGTGAAAGTAATGAAGCTGCTGATTTCCCTCAGCTGTTCAATCTTATGGCCCATGTAGGTTATTACTCCCAAAGCTAAAGCCTGAGCTACTGGTCTACGAGAAGGCCCTTTGCCACGTGACAACCCTTCCTCCAGAAAACCAGACCTTATCTGTGGGACCAGGAATCTTTGCTCACTAGATCAATGAGATGTCCGGTATAATTCAGTATTAAAATCAGTTTTATTTGCATTTATGGCTTTAGTTTTGATTTGAACAGAACATTTGAATTGTGTTTTTGACTTCTTACTACTGTTAGTTTGGGTAAGCTTATGAAAACTGACTAAAAACCTCCAGTGACAAAGTGCAGAGTGGATTTGAGATCTCCCAGATCAGAGCAGCTCTTGCTCTATTGAGCTTCTGGGACTGATGGGCCTCAACTTGTATGAGATGTCCTGGTATGTCATTTCAGGGGCCAAAGGAGGAGGTTGGAGTTTGTGTTTGAAGTGAGGTGAGAACCAGGTGAGTGACTGCTTATCTAAAGTGGAAAGTAAGAACAGGAGGGATGCAGAGGTGGAGGTTTGAATTCATAAGAGAGTCAGAAGAAGTGCACTTGATTAGCAATCCTGACCCTGAAGCTAATATAGCATCACTTAAAGCCAGTGAGAGATTGTGATCATGCACATTATAAAGACAGGGGAATAAAAAAGTACTGCAGTTGGAGATGGGACACAAAGCAAGATCACTGGCATTAAAGTCAAAAGATGTGTTTTCCCAACTGTTGAGCCAAGTCCACTTCTGTTCACAGCTTTCAAACTGTGCTGCATTTCAAGACTCAGAACAGAAGGGATGAAGCAAAAATCAAAGCTACGGATATTAAAAAGCAGCTATGGCCTCCAATAGTGATGAGGAATGGATGTAGTTCAGTAAAATCAAATGTGTCTGGTTTTGCGTTTCATTTTCAGACTCATCTTGACTTCCAGCTGAGGCGGGCTCAAATGTCACACTGTAACGAGCAATTTCCACCACATCCGGAGCGGCTAAGAAAAGACCGTAACCACTGATCGTAACTGACTGTAACCATTCAAGTCAAGTGTCTATTTTACCATCTTCTTTCCGTTCTGCTGCAGATCGCTGTACTCCGCAGCTGATCACAAGGTTTCTATTTTTTCTGCAGGAGCATGCCGGATAAATTCAGCACAGATTAACTTGTGCTGGAAAGGAAGTCGGGCACACACACAAAATAAAACATTCAGCTTCTTTTCAAAATAAAACACTCTGGGTTTCAGGCGGATCGTTTTTCACACCATGCAAACGGAGACAAGTGAAAGGTTCATAGACAGCAAGTCTAGAAGTAGATTTCCTTCTCTGGAAGGACACAATCTACCGCTTATAAGGTTAGCCTATGTGGCTAAAGACAACTTATTATCACGCAATTGCACGTGACTCGCGGGTTCTTGTGAGTTCTCGCATTTCCTGCTGTCCGTAATCTGCCACGAAATCAACAAACTAACAAACGGATCCAGTAAGAATTGGCGTACAGTGAAAATTGCCACCTTTCCAGATTGGAGCCATTCCAGATGCGGTGGAAATCTCGGGTAAGATGCTTTATTAGCGTCTGAACAAGTTTCTCCAAACCCACCAAAGGTTGTAAGAGACTTATTTTGCAGTTGTATGTGTTGAAACATCTCAACAGACTTCTTGGTGTGGAATAGGTTTGCTCGTGGAAGGATTGGGTGACTTTGGCTGAAAACAGATGTGGTAACGCGGTAGTACACACTAATTTATGTCTATGAACAAGACATGTTCAGACATGTTGGTTTGGCGTTGCTGACAAGGACAGCAGTCGATGGTGAAATGTGTCATTAAGACCATCCAAGCAGTGGGCATGAATGATTTAAAAGCCCATTCATATTTGAGATCAACACGTACAACTGCTGTGAAATACTCAGAAAAAGGCTGTGCTGCTAAATTCTAAGTGTTGTGTCTTTTTAATGCAATCAGTGTGATACATTTGTTGTACAGCCAGTTCTTCATTAAGCTTTGGAAGATGTGCAATTAATTTATAAAAAGAAACTGTAACAAGCAGCTGTCGTGTGCATAGTTAAATCAGAATAAAACATTGTGCCGCAAAAATCATCTTACATGAATTCTAACATGTATTCAATGTTCAAAGCAGGAATAATGAACATTTAATTGGTCCATTTATAACCGAATGTTTTGCTAATTTTGTTTATTAACCGCTCTGTTGGTCGTGCCATGTCAATATGAACTTCATCAAATTGTAAATTGTTTTTATAGACCGAATTAATCTGTTGTAATTAACCACAGGGTAATTAATAATGCGGCTGGCACGTTCAGCTCTGCAGATAAAAGCAACAGTGTGCAAATGTAAAACAGCAGCTGAATGGAGGAATTTAGGAAATAGCTGCTATTGCTCTGGAAATGTCAGCAACTCTCAAGGATATGGAGATGAGGCTTGACTGACAGGCGCATCTCTGACTGACAATCAATGTTTGTGTACTTTGAACAGAGTGCCGTCGATGTTTTCAGGGCTGCTTCAGAGGATGTTCGTCTTCATTTTCTCCCACATTGTGATGTTAAAATTGCCACATGCCATCTGACTGGCAGCAAGAAAAGAAGAGAGGACCTTTCATGACCTCCTCCATCTGAACTGCTGCCTCTTCAGTGTTGAAGCCATGTCTAGTACGTTAAGTGACTTTCTGGCGGAGCTCACGCCCATCAGCTGGCCCACCCGTTGGCAGTGTGTAAAGACGAACACGTCTCCTACTTCTTCTTGGTTTTTAAAAGTTAACTCAAAATACACAAGGCGACAAAGCTATAGGTTTGAGCTGATGGCGTCCAGGGAGAGCACGACTAACAATGAAATGACATTTAAAAAGGATGATCAAAATCTTTGACTTTTATTAAATTCACTTTTCTTAAATGTTGTCATCTTTGTGTTCCTCGACAATAAAACATAAACTTGTCTCATGCTGGCAGCCGTGTCTGCTCTGCAGTGGGGAGTGCGTGTCTTTTGTGAACATTTTGGCTGTAAAAACCGGCTCTTGTAAGCCAGAATGTTACTACGAGGAGTCGTTTGGGAGGCGGAAGATTCTTGCCAAGCCAAACGATCCAGATCACTTATGTGTCAGTTGTGTCCTAGCCAGGAACAACTTACCACTGCTGCAAGCTTGTCATACCTCAGTGCATTTACATGTTTAAAAAAATATTTATTGCCCTCATCCAAGTGAAACTAGATTAAAAAAAATAATAATAATAACTAAACACATTAGTTGGACCGAAATAGCACTAAATCATACTTTCATAATTGGACTAACATTCCTGGATCATGCAGTTTGGGGGTTGATTTTGTCCTTCACGTTTACAGCTAAATCTAAAATTAACCAAGGTGTTCTGAGCATGCATCAGCGAGACACTGAATGAAATGAGTGTGTCTAGGATGCCAGGTAGTAAGCCAGTCGTTCGATGTACATACTGTTAGCAAAAGGCTAACGGTTTGTTTTATGATTGTTTTGATTCACAATACATCAATTGGGAGACGACCATATAGTAAGAAGCAGAGATGGGCTTGTCATCACCTTCTGTAGTGGAGGTAGACATGCTTCTGTTAATAATTTGTACAGTGCTTATGAAGTCGGATAAAGACAGTAGTCCAGTTAAACCATTTAATTGAGTTATGACTGTAGTTCAACTTTACTGTGCATGTTAACCCACCAAGTATCAACATATATACTTGAGTAGTTGTTTCTTTCTTATCTTGGTGAAAGCTTAGTCTTTCTCTTTTACTGTTGCTCCCCCTGTCCCATAAACATCTTTTAACATTGGGGTGGGCCAACTGGACCACTGACTTATACAGGGGTAACGAAGATTGTTAGCCCACAAAGTTGGGCAGAATTTGATGCTTATAAGTCATTTATATAACTAAAAACAAAAGTAACTGTTATATGAGTTTGGATTATTTGGTTTTTAAAAGACTGAGTCCCCCCCCCCTTAAAATGGTTTATATTTACAAGTTCATATCATATGTATTTCAAATAAATATGACAAAGTGTCTTGTAATCCACATATTCACATGCAAACAAAACTGGAATTCATCCTTGATAATGCCTCCATCTACTTTAAGGTCTGTGCGTAGGCCTACCTGCGGCTTGGCACCAGGATGGGATTGGTCCCAACTTTCTCTGTTTATCTAAGTGCAGCCACTCAGTGTTTAAACATTGCCTGTTTTTGCCCATCACACTTCAACAGAGCTCACTAGTTGGACTGACAGAGGTTTACAATCACTGCCTTCTACCCAGGCGGGCAGAAGACTCTCCTGAGGTAGCAATCTCATACTTGTTCAGTCTGTCACCAGTGTGTATATTTCACTGCAACAACTAAAATACCAAATTAAATTTACTGTATATCCTTTCGCTCCTCTGAGAGGACCTGTCAGATTTCTTAGCTAAGCGAAAAGTGACAAAAAAAAGCCCAGATTTCAAATTAAAAGAGTGATTTTCTGCTGTAATACAGGAAAATCCACTTCTTATCCCCCTGTTGAAGAAGAAAAGCCGGCTGCAAATGAAAGAATCTTCTCTTGAAACCAGGCACTGAGCCAAACACAATGTCTGTTGGCGCCGCCAGCCTGAAGGATTTTAGCTATTTATTTTTCTTCTTTTTATGTTTGGCACACGGGAGACAAAGAAAGGATTCATTCAAGACCGGCAAAGGAGGTTGAGTTTTTAAAATGTGGCAATTAACCTGCGGCAGAAGATATATATTTTTTTTTTGGTGCGCGTTTTGGATTTATCATGAAAAAAGGGCTTAATTCTTCAGCTGCTGTTTGGTTTGCTTTGATGGGGAAGGAAGGAGATTGGAAAAACCTAATTACAGAGAAGATGACGGTGAGTTTTGCACAGAAGAATTACGATGAGGTAAACAACACAAAGTTTTACAGAGCAGTAACAGAAGATCAGACAGAAAAAAATCCCTTAGTTCAAACATGCTGATGATATGTCAGAAGTAGCTCTGAGATCATTAGATCTTTCTACTGTAAATATTCAATCAATCACCTATTTATTGGAAACTTTAATCAAAACTTTTGCAAGTTAATCAGTAGTGAAAATATAATTCTAACATGTTGTATATTGCCAACAACCAATGCAAAAGTGTAAGGTAAACTGAGGACACTTTTATCTGCCTTGATTAATGATGTTGTTTCTGTTTAGCGTTTAGCATCTGTTACCACCTGCACTCACAGATTGCACACCCTTGAGAGTCAAGACCCTGGCGTTCGAGACAGGTGACATGAGGTCAAAGTGCACATGTTCATAGCAGGAGCGTCATGCTCTTCGAGGTTCCCCCCTGTGCCCCTATTTCCCAATGAACAACTCTGTCATTAACCTTCAGTCACGGCTATCTGATGGTAAAGCCCACTGGAGCAGCAACTCATTTGCTTAATAACGACCCTATCTCAGAATGAGGGATGGAAACAGGAAGTCAATCAGGGAGGAACAGAGAGCGTGAGCGTATCCATTCCTCATTAACACACGGGAATGGAGTGTGAAGAGAAGATGGCAGCGCCAGCTAATTTATGGCAATAGGTACTCAAAGGCCCATGGCACACCTGGTTGATGAAACAGTAAAACCTTTGGAAGTATGATACCAAAGTTTAAACTCTCATGCAGCATCCACAGTTATCTAAATGACAATAAATGCTCATACCTACAGGGGAAATGATGCTACTCAGACAATGGGCTCTATTTTCGTTCGCGCCGGTGAGGCGGCGGAGGGCGGCGAGCCCCGCGCAGTTGTATTTTCGTCTGGCGGAGCCCAGCGTAAGGCCAATTTGGTATTTTCGTGGCATGAGCCGCACGGAGGCGAGCCGAGATCCGCCAAGCTGGGCGTGGTGGTGTGGCAGGGGGAGGTGTCGACAGAATCAGCTGGCGCAGTGACATTTTCGTGCTCGCCAACGGCGTGTAAAGTGCGCTGAAAGCTCGCCGATTCAAACCTGGTCAGCTTTCAGCGCAAGGCGGAACGCAGCTGGTCTAGTAGTATTTTGGTAGACCGGCGGCGTATCGACATACGTCACTGATGCCTCACCGGCAGGTTTCCACAGTGTCAGGCACATTTCAGTGCAATAAATAATCATCATCAACTATTAATCTGAGTCAGCACATACATTTAGATCTATATCGATATATTCTGATCTATATCTGATCTGATGAGCGCGTTTGGCACGCGTTTGGACACACAACCTGACCGAATCAACACAGCTGAAACCGCATAAAATTAAATTAAATATCTAGTAAATAAACACACATGATGAAGTAAACAAGATATGTAATTCGTCTCCCTCCTTTTCTTTCTTCCTCTTCCTCTTATTTCTCGCACAGCTCGACCTGGACACGCCTCCGTGTCCTCTGTCCGTCTTGCTGCTGCTGCAGCTGAACAGATGATTTGTTTCAGTGCTCAGATGCGTTATCTACTTTAAGCCGACATACGGATATTATAATATTCAGTTTTGTGAGCCAAATTTATTTTATATGCCAACATCTATGAAAGAAAGAGCCAGGCCACTTTGCGCGATGCGTCATTTACGCACAGATGGTTCCGATTTTCATGCCATTTTTGGAGTTTATGTTGTGATCTGTGCGCTCAACCCACCTTTGTTTCGTGAGGTTTGAATATGAGCAACTTTATGTGAGTGTCTTTATTTGTGGAAAAGGGTGTTTGTCTTACCAGTGGGTCCAACATTACGCACACTAAATCCATCTGTGCTCATATGAGAGAGTGTGGAGGACACTTGTTGAGGAGCTGCCCTCTGTCGCCATCTTGTGGCATTACTGTCTTAAGACATCTCTTGATCTCTTTGACTACTTCATGAAAATAGTAATACGCCTCGACTGTGGCGGATTTAAAGGCAAGGAGAGGAGCCTATGTGATTGGTGAAAACAGGTCTCGGCTGTGTTAAACCGACTTCACGCCCTTTCTCCTCCCCGTTACGACTTATGGTGCTGGGAGGAGCTGAGTTAGGGAGGGGGGATACTTACGCTGGGCTGCGCGGCTCACCAAAATACCAAAATGTGCTTGGGAACGCCTTGTCAGCGCGGCGGATCTGACTGACGCTGCGCTTGCGGCACGTCTCCGGCGAGGCACCAAAATAGAGCCCCATGTGTCATTACCATAGGCTGTATATACTATGGACAACTTGGTTCCACCTTCTGCCAGTATACTGATTTGAAGCCAAAAAGCTCTTGGTAATTCCGCGTTTTTTCTTCACTTCCTGAAACCAACATTGCGCAGTAGAGTTGTACGCACTTCGCCGCTTGAGCAGTAGCATTGTACGCATTCGGCGAGGGAGTCGCCAAGAGTTGCTGTGATGATGATCGGCTCAAACAGCAGATAACCCCAGATGAGCTATGCAATCTTCATACACCCATCAAGGCTGTATCAAGTGTCAATCATAGCAAACATGAACCCCCTTATAACTTTTAAAAACGTAGCTGCACAGACAAAAGAGGACTTGAGCACAAACCAGTCTTACAGTAACTACATGTCTGCCAGTATACTGATTTGAAGCCAAAAAGCTCTTGGTAATTCCGCGTTTTTTCTTCACTTCCTGAAACCAACATTGCGCAGTAGAGTTGTACGCACTTCGCCGCTTGAGCAGTAGCATTGTACGCATTCGGCGAGGGAGTCGCCAAGAGTTGCTGTGATGATGATCGGCTCAAACAGCAGATAACCCCAGATGAGCTATGCAATCTTCATACACCCATCAAGGCTGTATCAAGTGTCAATCATAGCAAACATGAACCCCCTTATAACTTTTAAAAACGTAGCTGCACAGACAAAAGAGGACTTGAGCACAAACCAGTCTTACAGTAACTACATGTCAACATCGCAAGCAGGGGTAAAAAAAAAAAAAATTGTGTAATAAATTTCTTAAAGTTGTCCATTTGATCCAAGTGTCCCACACTAAACATGTTTAAGTATTCTTGGGGAAGACACTTAACCTCAAACTGCTCCTGCTTGCATATCCAGCATTGGGGTTGAGTGGGAATGGGATAACTTAATTCTGACAGATACTTGGCATACCACATGAACAGGTGACTGTGACGTGCTAAAAAAGCACCTTGAATGGACTTTAAGGCTATAAAAAATGCTATAAACACACTCAAGCACACCCATTTACCACTTGATATACACATACCTACATTACTCAGTTTCAGGGCTAGCGTGAATGAGGTTTCCAAGAGCTTTAAGACTCCATTAAGTAGAAACCACTGTGTTATTATTTGACTCTGGGTTCAAGGCTTGGCCAGAGTAATAAGCATGACTCCATGAGGGTTGCTCGCTGCTGGGCCGCAGCAGAAAGCGTATAGCTGAGGTTTCCCACGGAACGACGCAGACATTAGTCATCAGTCCAATCTGCCTCTGATGGCTGATGAATTGGCAGGCCTCAGTGGAGATGGCAGGCAGGCGACCACAGTACAGCAATTATCAATCACACACGCTGTCGGACCGCGCTCATATTTCATGCCAACCATTGTCAAAGTGGATGGATGTCGAGCAGGTGGATTGATATGCGGCGATGACCAGCATTTATTGTCTTATTCATCTTCAGAAGTTAATCTCTGAGGCTGCCATCTTTGCATTTAAAGCACCCTCTTCTTTTTTTCTCCCAAATGTCGTTTTGAACACTGACAGCGATCCGTTAAGCATGACAGCATCAGTTATATTGACCACATCTCACCGAACAATTTATCAGTCAGCTAGCCCCACATTTAAAACTCTCCCAAAGGCACTCTATCTGACTCCAGAGAGATGCTCTGTGTCACTTGTCTTCTGCACCAACAGTTAAGTCTGACAGTCTGAAGATAACTGTATTATAGAGCCATGCGAGCAGTAAGACGGGATAATACTTTGGGGGAAATTGCTACCCTCAGATAGCGTAATTTGAGCCTCATTTCAATTATCCAAGTCACATTTGGGTGTGTATGAGAAGTTAATGGTGCCTGTGAATCTATTTGTTCATTTAACATACATAATGGAGCTGGAGTGAGCAATCAGAGGCGGCATGGCAAACAGCTCAAAGTATAACTGACATCAAACAAGAGCGACAGAAAGAAAGAGAGAGAGGGAGAGAGAGAGAGAGGGTGGGGGGGCTTTAATTACATTTGATAGAAAGAGAGAGGGCGCAGACGGGAGCATTTGAATGATATTATGAAGCTATAAATGCTTTTGACAACATGTTTCAGAGTCTTTATTGCTACATAAGAGACACCAGCTTTCAAAGCCTCTTCCACATAAACCGCAGAGTAAGGACTTCTCCTCCCCGCCTTGACACGACATTGAATGGACTAAATAAAGTCAGAGCAAGCAACCTGGTTATTGCAGGAGAGCACCAGAAATCTTAAGTGATAGATGTGGGCTTCAGGAAAGGTGTCAGAGGCGCTCATAAAAAAGTAATGGGATGGCTGTGAACTGGGAATAACTGACAAATAGTCCTTATCATTTGTCTGCTATTTTCTCCTTGTTACACAGGCTTGGGAATAAAAAAGGAAGGTGATACAAAAACCTGTACGCAGGCGGAAGAAGAATATACACACTTTGAGATTTAGAGGAGGGAGATACACCTCAGGCAGGTTGTAAATTAAGCTGAAAGAGTGGCTACAGAATTACTCACTTGTGCAGTTTTAAGCAGAGTAATCAGCTTTATTTTCATTTGACTTCAGACTTCAAACAGAAGCACCTTTGGGTGAGCAATTGGGCCTCGTTAAGATTTTATCACATTATACATTATTATGGGTTTTATTTGTTAAGAGAGCATTGTAGATGCAGGCAGATAAAGCTATAAATAACACAGAGTTATGACTGATATTGAAGTGATTTAAGTCCACTGCTATGCGAGGTCAGGGCCTGCAGAGTTGGCTGGTTTCAAGTATTGCACAAAAGCAGCAGAGATTTCATAGATTCTGGGTATGCACCATTTGTCATTCAGCCAGAGGAAATCTCAGACATTTTGTCTCCACTTTAATATTTCAATTTCTAATTTGAGCCGCAGCCTGAGCTGGATCATTTCTTACACTCCTGTTGAACTTTCAGATCTGCTCCATGCCAAATCTAATAAAGAATAAGGGCTAAACCACCAAAGAAGACTGAAAACATATTAATGACGAAGGTTGAGTACTTAATTCATGATACCTGAAATAAGATGTGATATTTATGTTAAAGACCCATTCTGAATCCGATGAAAATCATGTTTTTCTTGTTGTCTACATGTTCATATGGCATTTTACAGGACATATCATGAGAAAAATAAGTGCAAAATTATATTTCTGAGTCCAATCTCCAATCTCCTCCCCCAGAGCCCCGCTATGCAGGCTACACTTGGAGATATGGAGAGGACGATCGAGGAACAAGTGTGTGCGGTAGCGGATTGCAATGCTTGTAAGAAAGCTAACTATGAAATTAGCTTTTAGTATGTCCCTAAAGATATTAGTGTCTGAGAGCTGAATGTCACAATTTAAAGACCACTAATAACTCTTTAAGAAGAATTTAAAAAAACGATCGGAACAGGAAAGCATGTCAGTTTTGGCAGAGTGGCATGGGCACCCCTTGGATGAGCCGCTGACCATATAAGACATGGTCAATTCATGCTCATATTCATCTCAACAGATTTCCCTCTTGTGTGATGTTGCTCACTTTTATGCAATATCCTTCTCAACGTCACTCTCTTCAAGCAGCCGCTTGTTTATGAGGAAGCCCTGACGAGTCGATCACCGAGTGCAGTGGAGTTTCACAGCTCAAGGGAGAACATTTATGATGATTACTTCATGGAAGTGCAATCAGACCGAGATGTTTAGGAAGAAGTTCTCACGTGCCTGCAGTGCAAAATGATTATTATGATGATTAAAACTTCAAAATGATCCGCTGCACTCGGTAATCAACTCGTCAGGGCTCCCCCACATACAAACGGCTGCTGGAAGAGAGTGAGTGAGTTGTGTTGCTAAAGAAATTAGGCAAAGCTAAAAAAATGTTTGGTGGCTAGTACTATGGCTAGGACCCTATATGTACTGTTGATGAAGTTAGATGCTGTTCTGGGCATTATTTGTGGCTATAGAGTGGCTTTTTATTTAAGGCTTTGTGCATGGAGACGTAGACCGCTGTGTATTGCTATCTCGTGGTTGTTGCTGAAGTTGGTATAACTAAGGAAGCAAGCAGCAACATTCATCTCTCAAGGCGGTGTCTAACTTGGTGTTAGGGTGTAATTGACCATAACTTAAATTTACGCCGGAATATCCCTTTAATTTCCTCTGACTGCATCAGAATGGTGTCAAAAACTGCAGCTAAAAAAACTTTAACTCTCCACCTCTATTGCTTCCATGAACTGGTGACTCTAAATAAAAAAACTTCCAAAAGTGTTGGCTCCACAATCCTTCTTTTTGCAAATGCCTGTATTATTTGTGGCAAGGAAACACTCCACACTAAGATTAACCTCTGAGTGTGTGTGTGTGTGTGTGTGTGTGTGTGTGTGTGTGTGTGTGTGTGTGTGTGTGTGTGTGTGTGTGTGCGGGCGTGTGTGTGAATACCATATAGAAGAATAGAGCTCCTCACTCAAGTGACTGTAAGCAAAGTTTGACCTGAGGCTGAACCAAAAATTTGCATATATCTGTTGTCAGACAGTGCTGGAAGCTAGCTTGCCAACAAAAGATTATCACTATTATATTTTGGAAACATTGTTGTACGGGCTATCCCTATCTCATAGCTAAAACACTGCATCACACACTGTGTTTGTGCTTACCAGACGCTATCCACAAATAAATACACTGCATAAATTTCATTTTCTACTGTAAACACGTCTTTTTCCAGTTATATTTTGTCTAACCAAGACAAGAACTCTAACCGGAGATGGCCTGTAAACTCAAACTAACATAATGTAAAGGATTAATCTCCTTTTTCTGTGTAATGTTCAGATTACTTTGGCTTTATTTGTTCTTTTAGTGCCGATAAGGATGTTCTTGTTCCCCTTCCTTTTCTGCTGCTCTGCTTTATGCAATGGCACTGAACCATCTTTCACATTACGGTTAAATCATCCATTTGATTGTAACTGACATAATTGGAAAGGGTTGTGATGATGCCTTTCTAAAATAGCAATTAAGAGCAGCAGAGTCACTGGGAAGCTGAAGAAAAACAAACTGAGAAGTAAGGCTGAGAAAAAGTGATGAGAAGTGAGAGAAAAAAAGGAAAGAGGAGTTTTTTTGTTTTTTTTTCCTTTAGCAGGCCAGCCAAGCAGCAATTGCTCTGCACAGTTGAGCAGTGGAGATAAGCCACAAAGCAGATGCCTGCATATCAAGTGCTTGCCTTAGTTGCCACATTTCCAATAGCTGACTCACAGTTCAGATTCGAAGGAGGACTGGGGTGTGTGTTTGTGAATGTGCTGAATGTTTCCCCCCTTTACTGTGTGATCGCGTGTGTTGCGGTTTGGATGTTTGTGGGATTAGGAGGCGTTCAAGACAAAGGGAAAAACATCTTTGAGAGGGTCATGGTCTGGTTATTACCTTTGCTCAGCCTCTGAGACAGGAACAGAGTAGAAGGCATCGATCATGTGTAGCTCCGTGACCGCAGTGTTCGTTTTGAGATGCTGTGAGAGACAGATCAGCGGCTCCCTGCTAACTTTAAAGATTAAGAGCTGATTGAAAACTGAAATATTGTAGCACCATGTGCTGGAATCGATGCAGTAAATCTTTGCATACATCAGCAGGCAGAAATATGAATTATATTTCTTTAAATGGCGCGCAGATTTGTCATTGCCAGTGCAACTCTGCCAAATCCAATCATTTTTCCTGTGTTTTTCCATCAGCGGGTGAACAGATAGTTCTGCGGCATCACTCTCAATAATGGTTTTTGTTTTTCAGTCTGCGGCATTGATTCGGCCAATCATGTTTTCTTCCTTGTTCAATCTCCACTGTTGTCAACACGCCCAAGAAAGGCTGCCTTCTCTGACACTCCCTATAAGGAGACACGGACAGTGGAAATTAAAACATGAGCATTTTTACTACGTCTCATGTCTCTATGTTTTTTGTAATTAAAATTTGTGTTAAAAAAAGTACATAAAATAATACCAATACACAAAATTCAAAAAACAGCATAGGTGTGACAGTTCAACATGGTAAAGGTTTGAAATATGGATGTCATTGACAGCTCCCTAAAAGTAAAAGCCAAGACATACAAAACACTACAGTAAATACCAGAAATACTGGTCTGTTAAATAAATGGAGATTCAAATTCACAATTATTATCCTAACCATTGTTGGCCAAAAACACAGATCATACTTGAGGCTGAACTGTAGCTTAGCATAAAATGGATATAGGCTGTGTCTGCTTAAAACTTGCATATAAATACCTAGCAGGAGCAAGCAGGCACTCGCACCGGCACGTTTAAGTAGAACCGAAGGCTAGTTGTGCTAATGTTAGCCACAATTAAAAAAACCATTGAAGCTAGACAGCATATGAAGAATATGTTTTCACGGGATACAGGGATGTACAATCATAGTAACTGTTTTAATTATAATCATTGTTTTGTTGTTGTTTTGTTAATTTCACTGGGGTGATTATTTTTATTGCTATTATTATTATTATGATTAATATTTTTATATGATATTATAATATACTGTACATTGAAACCATTAGTGTAGGAGAAGGGGTGGGACTAGATAAGTCTCGACTTCTTCCAACTCCTTTCTAAACATGAATTACTTTTTAGGGCCCGAGCGTAGCTGCTAAGCAGCTGCGAGAGCCCTCTTGTTCCTGATGGATTCTTCTTTTTAGGGCCCGAGCGTAGCTGCTAAGCAGCTGCGAGAGCCCTATTATTCCTGATGGATTCTTCTTTCTTCTTTAGGGCCCGAGCCAGCTGCAGAGCAGCCGGGCGTAGGCCCTATTATTCCCCAAGTGGTTTTTCTTTGTTTCTTTCTTTCTTTCTTTCTTTCTTCTTTTTCCTCCCCTTTGAACTGGAAAATGGCCCACTTCCCACTGGCGAAAACTCATGAAATTTGGCAGGACGACCGGGCCTGGTGAAAAATTCGATATTCTGAAGTCGCCCAAACAATAAAATGCAAAATGGCTCCATAGCGCCCCCTAAGGTGGAAATTCACACTATTGACTGTCACGCCTGTACGCTTTGTCATATTGACACAAAAATTGACACACATATGTATCTCAATAAGATCTACAAAAAAGTCATTGCGGCCGTATCTGTCAAAATTACGGTTAAAGGGTTATTTCGCATTTTTTGCCGATCCGCACACATTGGAATTTCGCTAACTCCTCCGAAGGCTTTCGTTCCACCGGCACCACATTTGCTCAGGCCAATCTACACCCCGTGGCCATTAAAAGTTATCAAAATCATGACGCTGCACCCCAAGGTTTAGGTTCTAGGGGGCGCCAAAGATAACACTAAAATCCACATATTTAAAAGTCTTATAACTTTTTATTTTTGTCCTCACTGGCCTCCAAGTTTTCTAGGATGATGCAATGTCCAGCCATCAACACATTTGTGAAGGAATTTTTACTCCCCAAAAGAGCGCCCCCCCATGGTAGGAGAAAAAAGTCAATTTTTTCTTGTCCCCTTACATAAAAATACACATTGTTGAGTGTCACGCCTGAACGCTTTGTCATATTGACACAAAAATTGACAATCATGTGTATCTCAATTAGATCTACGAAAAAGTCGAAGAGCGCGTATCTGTATAATGTACGGTTAAAGGGCTATTTTGCATTTTTTGCCGATTCGCACACATTGGAATGTGGCTATCTCCTCCTAAGGCTTTCGTCCCACCGATACCAAATTTGCTCAGGGCAATCTACACCCCATGCCCATTCAAAGTTGTAAAAATCATGATGCTGCACCCCACGGTTTACGTTCTAGGGGGCGCCAAAGATGACCCAAAAATCCACATTCTTAAAAGTCATTTTGGCCACTGCAGGAGTACAGAGTACTGCAGTTCTAGGGGGCGCCAAAGATGAACCAAAAATCCACATTCTTAAAAGTCTTTTTGGCCACTGCAGGAGTACAGAGTACTGCAGGATACACACACATATACACACACGCCAACATACACACACACACACACACACACACACACACACACACACACAGACACACACACACACTCAGAGTCTGTTTTTTAGCACCTGCAAAAACATGCTGTTTACATATTTGACAAGAATGCAGAGGCTTCCTTTTGCCCCTGAAAAAAATCAAATTTCAAACACAACTTGACTGTTCATTTCTCCAAAAGACAACCATGAAGCTCCATTTCAAACCTGAAGCAGATAGTTGGTGCATGTGTACAGTAACCTGAGGGGAGTGAGGTGACTATTTCTGAGGAGAACATGAGCAGTGAAGATTCACCTTGGAGCTAGAACAGGGACGTGCACATGATTATACAGGGGCAGGGGCTCAAGTTTTTTCCAGTCATTTATACAATATGGAAATTAATGTGAAATTAAACCACAAATATGTGTGATGAACTGTTTTTAAAACTTAAACTTCAAATAAAAATTGTAAACTTCAAAACATATGCAACTTTTTAACAAAGAATATAGTAATTTACCTCTATTTACATCAAAATGCAGGCAATGGCCCAGGCGTTCTTTGTAAAATTATTTACAAAACACTGTATAGTCTCACAAATGTCACTTTTTATTTATGCCACTACAAAAAAACATGATGTAAATGATGCATGATGTAAAACATGATGTAAAAAACTTGTGTAGATCCTCCTCTATGTCAGTCCATGTGTAATTTTTCCATAATTCTTTGTTTTTTGCAGCATTTTTGTTAGTGTAACTGCAGATTGTGCTGACAGTGTCTATGGCACAAAAAAAAAAAATTAAAATGCCTCAACATGAACCCCTGGTGGTCTCTGAGGGTGAAACCTGCTAACTGCTGCAGCTCTGTCAGCTTCAGTCTCCCATGCAGAGCTCTGAGCGCATGTGTGGCTCTGCACCCTTAGCAGCGTTGCTAACTCCTCAGTAAGGAAAGCCTGCTTCATGTCAGAGTCTCTAAACTCCAGAAGAAGTCGATAAAAGTCCCTTTCTTTCTAAAAAAAAGTCGTTAGGGGGTCTGAAAAGTCATTGAATCTAACAACAAAGTCGCTAGGTTTGCAACTACGTGTCCCAGACTGCATCCCTGCTGAGAGTCCCTCCCTCCCTTCTCATGTTGCAGGAAGAACGTAAGCGCCCGCCCCTTGTCAATCAGTCACCATATAATTTTGGATTGGTTGTTGTGGTGAAGTTTTCCACCAATAGGAGAGATGTTGTGGTGTGTTTTTTTTTTCTTTTGGCAAGCCTTTTCCGCCTGTAAGACCTGTCGCTAATGTCTGCATGCTATGTTTTCCTGTCTCATACAGCGCGATCGAGCGCCGAACGTGATCAAAATAGGCAGAAAAAAAGTATCGCGGACATAATTTATCATAACTCTGGTTTTATTTGGCCTATCAACACAATTTAAAAACTGGTATATAGGTTGAGGTCCTCACTTTTGAGATAAGTTGAAACGGAGAGTCAACGAGGCTCCGTCTTGCAGCTACATCCGGTTAAATATGTCATGTGACTTGAACGCACACATAGACACACACACACGCACACACACACACACACACACACACACACACACACACACACACACACACACACACACACTCAGAGTCTGGTTTTTAGCACCTGCAAAAACATGCTATTTACATATTTGACAAGAATGCAGAGGCTCCTTTTGCCCCTGAAAAAAATCAAATTTCAAACACAACTTGACTGGTCATTTCTCCAAAAGACAACCATGAAGCTCCATCCAAACCTGAAGCAGGCAGTTGGTGCATGTGTACAGTAACCTGAGGGGAGTGAGGTGAGTGCTTCTGAGGAGAACATGAGCAGTGAAGATTCACCTTGGAGCTAGAACAGAGACATGCACATGATTATACAGGGGCAGGGGCTCAAGTTTTTTCCAGTCGTTTATACAATATGGAAATTAATGTGAAATTAAAACACAAAGTATTAATAGAAAGGTAATGACTGTCCTGTGTAGGTGACAGTGATATCCAATAGGCTAGGCACTCACGAGGCTGGCTGTGGCAAGTGTAAGTGAAAGCAACACGCACTGGCAGGAAGAACAGCAAACGCCGATGAAGGAAAAGGGTCTTTGCAGTGATGGGCGTTACCAGAGAGGGCGATGGCCAGAGGACACAAATGGGACGGGGAGGCAGCACGTTGGGGGGGGGGGAGACGCGACACGGCTCGGGCCCGCCAGTGCCCCAACGGGGTCCTAGTCTTTGTTTGTTTCTTTCTTTCTTTCTTTCTTTCTTCTTTTTCCTCCCCTTTGAACTGGAAAATGGCCCACTTCCCACTGGCGAAAACTCATGAAATTTGGCAGGACGACCGGGCCTGGTGAAAAATTCGATATTCTGAAGTCGCCCAAACAATAAAATGCAAAATGGCTCCATAGCGCCCCCTAAGGTGGAAATTCACACTATTGACTGTCACGCCTGTACGCTTTGTCATATTGACACAAAAATTGACACACATATGTATCTCAATAAGATCTACAAAAAAGTCAGTGCGGCCGTATCTGTCAAAATTACGGTTAAAGGGTTATTTCGCATTTTTTGCCGATCCGCACACATTGGAATTTCGCTAACTCCTCCGAAGGCTTTCGTTCCACCGGCACCACATTTGCTCAGGCCAATCTACACCCCGTGGCCATTAAAAGTTATCAAAATCATGACGCTGCACCCCAAGGTTTAGGTTCTAGGGGGCGCCAAAGATAACACTAAAATCCACATATTTAAAAGTCTTATAACTTTTTATTTTTGTCCTCACTGGCCTCCAAGTTTTCTAGGATGATGCAATGTCCAGCCATCAACACATTTGTGAAGGAATTTTTACTCCCCAAAAGAGCGCCCCCCCATGGTAGGAGAAAAAAGTCAATTTTTTCTTGTCCCCTTACATAAAAATACACATTGTTGAGTGTCACGCCTGAACGCTTTGTCATATTGACACAAAAATTGACAATCATGTGTATCTCAATTAGATCTACGAAAAAGTCAAAGAGCACGTATCTGTATAATGTACGGTTAAAGGGCTATTTTGCATTTTTTGCCGATTCGCACACATTGGAATGTGGCTATCTCCTCCTAAGGCTTTCGTCCCACCGATACCAAATTTGCTCAGGGCAATCTACACCCCATGCCCATTCAAAGTTGTAAAAATCATGATGCTGCACCCCACGGTTTACGTTCTAGGGGGCGCCAAAGATGACCCAAAAATCCACATTCTTAAAAGTCTTTTTGGCCACTGCAGGAGTACAGAGTACTGCAGGATACACACACATATACACACACGCCAACATACACACACACACACACACACACACACACACACACACAGACACACACACACACTCAGAGTCTGTTTTTTAGCACCTGCAAAAACATGCTGTTTACATATTTGACAAGAATGCAGAGGCTTCCTTTTGCCCCTGAAAAAAATCAAATTTCAAACACAACTTGACTGTTCATTTCTCCAAAAGACAACCATGAAGCTCCATTTCAAACCTGAAGCAGATAGTTGGTGCATGTGTACAGTAACCTGAGGGGAGTGAGGTGACTATTTCTGAGGAGAACATGAGCAGTGAAGATTCACCTTGGAGCTAGAACAGGGACGTGCACATGATTATACAGGGGCAGGGGCTCAAGTTTTTTCCAGTCATTTATACAATATGGAAATTAATGTGAAATTAAACCACAAATATGTGTGATGAACTGTTTTTAAAACTTAAACTTCAAATAAAAATTGTAAACTTCAAAACATATGCAACTTTTTAACAAAGAATATAGTAATTTACCTCTATTTACATCAAAATGCAGGCAATGGCCCAGGCGTTCTTTGTAAAATTATTTACAAAACACTGTATAGTCTCACAAATGTCACTTTTTATTTATGCCACTACAAAAAAACATGATGTAAATGATGCATGATGTAAAACATGATGTAAAAAACTTGTGTAGATCCTCCTCTATGTCAGTCCATGTGTAATTTTTCCATAATTCTTTGTTTTTTGCAGCATTTTTGTTAGTGTAACTGCAGATTGTGCTGACAGTGTCTATGGCACAAAAAAAAAAAAATTAAAATGCCTCAACATGAACCCCTGGTGGTCTCTGAGGGTGAAACCTGCTAACTGCTGCAGCTCTGTCAGCTTCAGTCTCCCATGCAGAGCTCTGAGCGCATGTGTGGCTCTGCACCCTTAGCAGCGTTGCTAACTCCTCAGTAAGGAAAGCCTGCTTCATGTCAGAGTCTCTAAACTCCAGAAGAAGTCGATAAAAGTCCCTTTCTTTCTAAAAAAAAGTCGTTAGGGGGTCTGAAAAGTCATTGAATCTAACAACAAAGTCGCTAGGTTTGCAACTACGTGTCCCAGACTGCATCCCTGCTGAGAGTCCCTCCCTCCCTTCTCATGTTGCAGGAAGAACGTAAGCGCCCGCCCCTTGTCAATCAGTCACCATATAATTTTGGATTGGTTGTTGTGGTGAAGTTTTCCACCAATAGGAGAGATGTTGTGGTGTGTTTTTTTTTTCTTTTGGCAAGCCTTTTCCGCCTGTAAGACCTGTCGCTAATGTCTGCATGCTATGTTTTCCTGTCTCATACAGCGCGATCGAGCGCCGAACGTGATCAAAATAGGCAGAAAAAAAGTATCGCGGACATAATTTATCATAACTCTGGTTTTATTTGGCCTATCAACACAATTTAAAAACTGGTATATAGGTTGAGGTCCTCACTTTTGAGATAAGTTGAAACGGAGAGTCAACGAGGCTCCGTCTTGCAGCTACATCCGGTTAAATATGTCATGTGACTTGAACGCACACATAGACACACACACACGCACACACACACACACACACACACACACACACACACACACACACACACACACACACACTCAGAGTCTGGTTTTTAGCACCTGCAAAAACATGCTATTTACATATTTGACAAGAATGCAGAGGCTCCTTTTGCCCCTGAAAAAAATCAAATTTCAAACACAACTTGACTGGTCATTTCTCCAAAAGACAACCATGAAGCTCCATCCAAACCTGAAGCAGGCAGTTGGTGCATGTGTACAGTAACCTGAGGGGAGTGAGGTGAGTGCTTCTGAGGAGAACATGAGCAGTGAAGATTCACCTTGGAGCTAGAACAGAGACATGCACATGATTATACAGGGGCAGGGGCTCAAGTTTTTTCCAGTCGTTTATACAATATGGAAATTAATGTGAAATTAAAACACAAAGTATTAATAGAAAGGTAATGACTGTCCTGTGTAGGTGACAGTGATATCCAATAGGCTAGGCACTCACGAGGCTGGCTGTGGCAAGTGTAAGTGAAAGCAACACGCACTGGCAGGAAGAACAGCAAACGCCGATGAAGGAAAAGGGTCTTTGCAGTGATGGGCGTTAACAGAGAGGGCGATGGCCAGAGGACACAAATGGGACGGGGAGGCAGCACGTTGGGGGGGGGGGAGACGCGACACGGCTCGGGCCCGCCAGTGCCCCAACGGGGTCCTAGTTAGGGCCCGAGCCAGCTGCAGAGCAGCCGGGCGTAGGCCCTATTATTCCCCAAGTGGTTTTTCTTTGTTTCTTTCTTTCTTTCTTTCTTTCTTTAGGGCCCGAGCGTAGCTGCTAAGCAGCTGCGAGAGCCCTATTATTCCTGATGGATTCTTCTTTCTTCTTCTTCTTCTTATTATTTTTCTGCCCCTTTGAACTGGAAAATGGCCCACTTCCCACTGGTGAAAAGTCATGAAATTTGGCAGGACGACCGGGCCTGGTGAAAAATTCGATATTCTGAAGTCGCCCAAAAAATCAAATGCAAAATGGCTCCATAGCGCCCCCTAAGGTGAAAAATTCACATGATTGAGTGTCACGCCTGTACGCTTTGTCAAAATGACACAAAATTTGACACACACGTGTATCTCAATAAGATCTACAAAAAAGTCAGTGCGGGCGTATCTGTCAAATGTACGGTTAAAGGGCTATTTCGCATTTTTTGCCGATCCGCACACA